ACTCGAGCTTTGTTTCACCCGTCTCCCGCCGTCCACAAGTAGCCACATCCAACCCTGAGCAGATGCTCCGCTAGCCCTGCACACACTGATTCTCGGAAGCTATCAACTTTGCTCGTCCTCGATGAATTGGTCCCGATATGTGCGTGAACGTGTTTTCGAAAAGATTGAAGTTGGAGCCTGCGGCCGGTTCTTCAGTCGAATCAGACTCAAATCTCTTGCTTCCACCAAAACACGTTCACGCACATATCAGGACCAATTCATCGAGGACGAGCAAAGCTGATAGCTTCCGAGAATCAGTGTGTGCAGGGCTAGCGGCGCACATGTTCAGGGTCGCCTGTGGTAGCTTGTGGGAGGCGACAGAACGGATAGAAACAGCACCTCGAACTGCCTCTGACGGCACCTTTTTTTTCAGTCTATTTTTCCTCCGCTCTCATCTTCGGCATTTGTTCCGACTTTGCTGCTGCTGTAAATGCATACATATGCATGCACTGCTGCTCCAGCTGATGGGCTGTTCTAGTTCGCCTGATCCGCTAGTGTCGTGCACATGATGCTTTGCTGTTGGTCCTGTGGCTGTGTGTATTGTGTGCAGTGCACGTAGTACGCTTTGGTGTTGTTTACAAAGTTTACAAAGTGGAGTCGTGTTTTTTCAGCGTTTTGGTTGCGTACCCACCTGTTTTTGGGATCGTTGGTTGGTTACTTTGAACTGGCTCTAGTCCGTTGGGCTACCGACCACGGTCACTTTTTTGGCCAAAAAAACTTGTAATCTCGAGGTCTAACTGTCCAACGGGCAGGACTCCACGCTTGACACATGGACCGCCTACAACCGTAGGGTGCTAGGAAGGCACGCATCTAGGCCCGTTCATTGTACACGTAATTCTGAGACCACAGAGGCTGAAAAAGAGGTAAACACGAGCGCGGAGTACAACACCCCCCCCATGTCACACCGTCACAGCGGAAAGAGGGGATCGTCGTCTCACCGGAGCCGAAGGACAGCAGCGTGATCGTGTTGCTGGTCGAGTTGCCCCCATCCAAAGCTGCTTCGGCCTGTGATCTCGATAGCGCTTGGGGGCACCCCGCCGACTGGAACAGGTTGGCCCCAGACATGACATGCGTTTCGCCCCCGGTTTCTCGCACGAAGACGTGTGTGGCTGTGACGCCTGTTGACATGCAAACAACAATATACGAAGATACCACGTTTCATTAGAAGCAATATCGAGAGACACTGTTACCGAAACGTTTCCAATCGGTAGCGTCACCTCGGAAACTAAGCAACCTCAAGATCGGGGGGGGGGCACGCAAAATTATTCGATGGGTGATTGATTTTCCCTCCCCGTCCGCCGCCACGTCGGGATGATGGCAAGGAACAGAATGCGGAAAAAATAATGTTCCATGTGCTTCGCTCTTCGTAATCATCGGCAACGGGGGACCTCTGCGATCTCTCACCAATCACCAATCACGAATCAATAGGGGAAGGTTCTTAGGAACGAAGACCGTCAGCAAGGGGGTTCGTGCACCCTTGCGGTTCCCCGCCGCGCAAAAAGAGGACAAAACAACACACTTGGCGTGTGAACCTTGTAGAACTTGCTTAGTCGCGGAAACAAGAGACTGGGGCCTTGCAATTTTTCGTTGTCTTCATTATTCTATTGCCGAAGACAGGAGCTAGGGAATGGGCCCTCATTAACCTCATGATCTCACAAAAGGGAACATGTTACAAAGAACGGGATGAATTACGAAGAGTTGAATTAATCTCGTATTCGTTGAGGTTGGAAATATCGACTTGACGGTTCATGAAGCACCGTGATAAGACATTCGGGGCACCAATGTGCCAAGGTGTGCTTGCGTATTGCAGCACTCCCCTCGCTTCGACCTGTGTGCCTCTCTCTTGCGACGGTCATGCAACACATCAAAATAAATCTACATAAAACCAGTCTCAATGGAGGAACACACGGCGGGCAAAACAGTATCTCATGTGTGACTAATGAAATGAGATCAACGGTGATTGGTTTCACCAAGGCACTTTGAGACGTATGGCAGAGAGGAAAGGTAGTACACAAGCAGATAAGTAATGACGTCACAGACAGCAGCTAGGAAGAACCTGGTCATCAAACGACGGCGGTATGGACGCAATGATGGTAGACTTGAGGATACGTCTAAGAATCTACGAAATACCGAAACTGCCAATGACAAAACCTTCAGTCTCACCGAGTTTGGCATGCTCAGATCCTTCGTGTTGCTTGAGTGGTTCCCGAGATCCCGAACCTATCGCAGCACTCCATCCCTTCCGAACGTATTTCAGGGACGTTGGCGACAGGGGAATGGAGGCCAAACGATAACGGCGGAGGATAGAAACAGGAAAGATATATATATTGTACCCAGGGTGGGGGAGACGGCGGAAGTTTAGATGAGCACGAGTCCAAAGGGCAGCCCATACTTCACACGCACAGCGATACCCATCGGTAAATAGATGTTTTCTTCTGTAGAGCCATGTGTCATCCATTGCAACGCAAGCGCGTCACTGGAAACATCTCGTCGAGAGACAAGAGAGGGCTATCCGAAGACGCGCTCATCTTGCGTTGGTACCGCGTGATGCGCAGCAGTCGTGCACGAATAACCCTCACGAGTACAGCGGAAGGGAAGACCCACGATACCATGCGGTCAAGCGGTCGTTCGAACCAGACCACAACAAAAACACGCTTGCGCGCTTACCCAGCATTGTTGCACGACCATCACACCCACTGAGATGGTGAGCAGAAGAAGCAGGCGCTGCAGCAGCGGCGGCACCCTAGACCCACGTGGACCCTGCGGGAAAAAACAACAGAAGGGTTTATTCGAGAGCATGATCCCTGGTCACTTTTTTATTGTTGTTGCTTTTCCCGTCCCATCCATGTATTCTGTGCGCCAGTGTAGGCCTTTCGGGACGTGTTTGAGGCACCAACCGGGGTAAAATAGCAAGGGGAAGTGTTTACCTTGCCTCCTGTGGTGCTTGCTGCCTTCAATCTTTATCTGTCGCGAAAAGGGTTTGGGTTGGGCAATCCGTTCATCTCTTCCCTCGCTGTTGTGTGGAATCACGACTCTGCGGGATTGTCCACTCCAGAGAAAAGCAAGTCCAGACTAGATCCAAGCGTGGATTAGAACTTTTGCACGTAGACACAACACGTATTCGTGTTCTACCGGCTCTGAAAAAAGGTCAAGATGCCTTCCCACTCTGTTGTACAGCACAACCCTCAAAAACAACACAAGATATCGCGACAGACACATGTAGCATACCTGTATGCGTTTGCGCTGGTTTATGCGTGTGGCTTGACATGGCTGTACTTTTCGACCTATGGACAGTGGATGGAGGTCAAATGTCTGTTGTGTACTCACGTATTCACTAATACCTTTAAGTCGCGAAGTACCTCTAAGGTTGCACGACGTACAGATATTACACCCCCAAAAAATAAAAGCTCGACTTCATACTTCAACGACGAAGAGGGTGCAGAAAAGTCAAAATGATGCGCTGTCGAATGTTCTCGACAAGACGGTTCCAACGCCGCCACTTTCGGCACCGTTGCCGTTTTCGCTGCCGTTTTTGCTGCAGAGTTAGCAAGGTTTGAAAGTCGGCCCAGGCGGTGTCTTACGCAGATTGCGGTACAAAGATCATGTGGAGTGTGGAATTCCATCGTTCCATCCATTTCATGTTCGGAAACCATACCCCCCGCATGATTATACCGTGAGCTGTAGAAGCAACGCAAAGAAGAGAAGCGAAGAAGAAATTGTCAAGTTACAACCACAGAGAGTGCACTACAGCAGTACACCACGGAAGCAATGTGTCGGTTCGTACCAGTACTGCTGAAGACGCTCATCCATGCTGCTACACATCGCGGTGCACGACAAATACCGCACCGAGAACACGCAGTACAAAGCACTCCATGAGATGTAGAGCAACATCAGAACTGCGCATATGCATACAGCAGCCCGCCGTAGGACATGCATCCTAAACCAACATGTGCCACAAGCTCTCCGTACCTCCTCCATCTCCACGCTAGCTACTGGCCTATCGAACCAGGACACGCCTGTTGAGCGCTTTCTCCATGCTTCTGTGCAGTGATGAACGAGGCAGGTCTGAGGTCTGAGGTGATGAGGTGATGCAAGCGGGTTGTCCCGCATCTCCGCAATCTCCGCATCAAGGGGTGGCCCCGTGGCATGCAAAAGGGGGCTCAGTAAATGGGAGTATGTCTTTCGATCTGCTGTACAATGCATTGACATGATGGATGTGGATGATACCGCATGCGGCTACAGTACATGTACACATAAACAGGAGCGTCAAAGCCCTCCCGCCCGTGCGAGTGAGCGGGGCAAATCCTTCCAGCTCCCCTGCCCTCTGGTTCTAGCTACATTGGCCCTTCTGTATTGTAGCCATGATTCTATCTGTATGCATGCTTCCGTAGGATATCGATTTGGTTTCTGCAAGCAAGCTCGGCGAAGTAGAGGACTTCACAGCCGCCGCAGAGAGAGAGAGAGAGAGAGAGAGAGAGAGAGAGAGAGAGAGAGAGAGAGAGAGAACGGACTACTGTACTATGCAGTTGTGAAGAAGCGGATACCGTCTACTGCAGACTACTGCTAGCGAATATCACCGCTTATCCCTGCATCATCCGCTTGGAAGGAAAAGCAGCACAACAAACACCCAGTCTTCTCAGAGACGCCCGTACACGACCGCGGGCCGTGCATGCGTTCCACTCATTCCCAATATGAACACTTTCTGTGCAAAATAGCGTAGAACGAGAGGCCGGTTCAACTATATTTGTGGTTACTTGCGCTGTAGGGCATGAACAAGAACACGCGAAACTGCGTGGACCGCGAAACTGCGTGGACCGCGAAACGCCTTCTCGGACCCACATTGCCGCGATCTCGACTCTTTTTACATGACAGTGGTGGGTGCCCGTAAAAAATATCCCGCCGTTACAACTTACGCATCTCCCTCTCTCTCTGCTGAGCGCGGCGCACACTCACACGACTAGCTCCACGCGCTGACTTTTGACAACAATCTGTCGTTTCGGCCACAGCGAGCACAGGATCGGCACAGAACAGATAGACTAGAAGAGGCGACGATGACGATCATTGTCAAGCGCGCGACGATGTTGGCCGCTCGGGGCTTCGTCGCGTGCTGCTGCCTTTCGACCGAGGGTTCCTCCGTCTAACCGGTCGGCGCCGCCGACCTTCAACGCGAACTAAATCAATCTTCGCCGGGATATGTACAGACGAGTGAGGTCGTCAAAAGCGCTCGTCAAAAGCGCACGGAGACAAACTCTCTGACAAGAACATCGAGGGGGCTTGCGTTGGGTGCAGCGGCGGCGGCGATGTCGCCATCGAGGGTGGGATCCTGCGGGTTCTCTCGCCGCTGGATCCCGATTGGGTTACCCGCAGGGTGGACCCTAATCTCGACATCTTGGGGAATGAGGAGGTGATCATGTGTCTCGTTTGTTGTTACTTTGTTCGCGGACGACACGCACGTAGCTAGCGGTGACGCGGGAGGTGACTTCGGCAGATCATCTGATGTTTAAGGTTAAAGTTAGATCGCAAGATGTCCACTGGTGCTGCTGTGGGTGATGCATCATGCGGATGTGACGAGATTTTCTTGTAGAGAGCAGGCTATTTCCGAGATGCTTGGTTTTTGAAACGGATTTTTCACGTGTATGTACAAAACGTACAACCCCGACATCCCTAGAAGCAGGAACACTGGTATCGAGCTTGCCGTTTGACATCGCACAACCTCAACACCTCATCTACAGTAAGTAGTACATAGATCCCTGGCCAATTCTCCCATCTTTCAAGGGATTGCTTGTCCAACCCGGGATTGACCCCCGCCCCCGCCGCTGGCCAAAGAACATTCGTCTCGTTCTACACCACCTCACTCTCCCGACTACGGACAGCAACTGCCGCTGCCGCTGCCGCTGCCGCTGCCGCTGCCGAAGCCGCTGGCGAAGATTACCTCGACAAATTGACCGTGACGTTGCATGACGCTTGGTGCAGAGGTTGAGAATCGGGGCAATATTGCCTACGCTGTAGCTCAAGCCATTCTGCTGTATGCCCTAAATCGCAAGGACACCCGTGCTGTTGTTGCCGCTCGCCCGTCCTCGGAAAGGACGCCCGTGGATGAAGCCGCTGTGGACGCTGATGACGCACGGTCTTAAAGAAAGATTCGGGGCAAAGGCGCCTACTGCTCCGTCCAAGCAGCAGGGTATCTTCGTGATCTTGGGCATTGGAATGGCTTGACGTACGGTGGGCGAGCAGAAGGGGCACCTTCGACTTGTTGGGCAGGTAGACGGGTTGAGGTAGGGCAAGCCTTGCACTACCTCCAGCCACTTACATGCCAAAGAACGCGAAGACACCGCTGCTGCTCGCCTGCCCTATGTCAAGCCATTCGCATATATATTCCTGAGATCACGAACACGTCGCTGCTGCTCGGGCAGGCGCTCTTGCCTCCAGTTTGTTTTTCTGCACGTTGCGTCGTGGAACGTTTGGGGGGTTTCGTCCGCATCCACAACCCCTGCTGCTCCGCAGCCCTCGTTTACGACGAGGATGTAGTGGCCCGTGGACAGAGGTGGGTGTGCTCTCTCTGTGGGGCACACAGCACGGGTGGAAAGGAAAGGAGTTTCGTCAGCGCTATCAGAGTGAGGTACGGATAATGTCTCCATCAGAGGGCGCTGATGGAACCCGTTCTTGCCTTTCGACCCATCCATCCGGTACCCCCACAGCAAGATCACGCTCCCCATTATCGACCCGACACCACGCCCTCGTCGTTAACGAGGGTTTTGGGGGAGCAGCAGGGGTGTCGTCGTGATCTTGGACATGTCAATGCCTCGAGGTAGACCAGGGTGCTCCCTGAGGGAGGAGAATAACAGGCAGGGTTGCCGGCGGCCCTGGAAAAAGTTGTTGTCGTGGGGGTTTGGAGTGTGTCCTCTTCATGGCTAAACGCAACCCATCTTTGAAAAACCGAGATTTTTTCGCAAAGCCGCTTTCGAACCGTATTCCGGGCTGACAACGACCAGAACGTTATATTTTAGAGCAGCAGGACATTGTCCGGACCGGCGCCACTCATTCGCTCGAGAATCATGACGGCACACGTACTAAATGACTTGTGGCTCCTCCGTTCCCTCGCTTAGCTTATCTAGCTACTTGTGATTCCAACAACAATGGGCTGTCTTGTCCGAGCCAGTCAGTACAGAAAACACCCATTTCGTGTATTGTTTTCTTGATTCGCATTGACCGCGCTAACCGGCTGACCAATGAAACACGTCTCAGTCTTGTAGCAGGATAATAACCACGGAACACGTTGTGTGCGAGCTGGTGTTTTCATCCCATCTACAGCAGTACGCCAGTCAGTCTAGTCTACACCTGCCTTCCGTAGATGTAGGACGTTTGCGGGAGCTGGCGGGGTTACACAAAGACGGGGAAGGATGAGGAATAAGGTGACCCCTGACTGATTTGTTTTCTCCTTTTTCTCCACCTTTCTTTGCTCCTGTGGCGGTTCTTGCCTCCGACTTCTCATCACGAGAACCCCTCAACGGTCCAAAAGAGAACGGCGAAGGCCGTCATCAATCCTCAACTACGGGTGCACAATCCTGGACCGAAATGCCCGACATTTTTGTAACGCAATAATGGTTAAAACGATTTTTGGAAAGGATTCCTCGCTTTCTGGTCAGCTATTACATGTAGCGTCATCCCACCATAGGTGAACTACCGCAAGTTCCACAATGATAAGCTTCACCTTGCTAACCGCGGCATCCAATTTTTCACCGCGACATCCAATTTTTATCAGTCCTGGTCCCCCCCCCGCCCGCCCCTCAATAGCTACATGCTACGGTCGGGCTGATGTGTATACACTTGCGATTGAGAAAAAACACAGCACGCCAACGACAGACCACTTTTACTGTCGCCACGCAGCCTCCCTCTCCTGTCTCGTCCGTCCCTTCCTGCCCCCCACCCATGACAATATACATACCACGTTAAGACCCCCCCACACTTCATTGCTGCACTTGAGTGATTGGTCAACCCTTCCGAGGTGACCTCCGTGCCACTACGACGCGTGGAACCACCGTGTTTCTTTTTCTTACCACACTCTCGCGATCAAGCCTGCGTGACCCTCGCCCCCAATCCTGCAGGTGGTTCCTGGTACCCCTCACACAACATCAACAACCGGCACTCAAATTTGGTGTTATCGTGAAGGTATCCTACGCTGCACCACTCGCCCCACGACAATAAAAACGCCACTTCACAAATTAATTCTTCATAACCCACTTCCGATGTAAACACGCTACAAAGGTCTCCCCCCCCCTCCTCATCACGTTTGACGCGGTCGGATATACCGCTGGTGCCCTCCACTGTACCTGAAAAAAAAAAAAAAATAGAAACCCGTGAACGACTCATTTCTTACACAGGTTTTGATAGACCGCGATATGCACGGGCATTCTAGTGCGAGGGGCTCAACGGTTGGGCGATGTAGCCTGCGCCCCATAGCTCGACCCCTCGTGGACACTTGAGCTAGACACCGTGTGTCGAACACTGCTGGCTGCTGCCATTCGACTCTCTCGAAAAAAACACTTTTTTTTCCTTTTCATCATCATCATGCGGCGATGTGCTCGTCGGTGTAGACGTCCATGGGCGGGCAAGAGCAGACCTGTGTTTTCGGGAATAAAGGACGGTGAAAAGAGCAGTCGTGCCAGGCGGCGTTTGCGGGCAGGGGGCGAAGGTGGGCGGGGAAGTGCTGTTGAGACGTGAGACTCGAAAACGGGACGCAAGTGCTTAGTCGGCCTAGCTGTGGGGGAGTGGTGTCCGTTGGCAAAGGGTTCATGGGAGAGTACGCGGTATGGAGGACTGGGATCCTCGGTTGTGCGTTTTCTGTGTCCTTTATTTCTCCCTCTCTGCCCTTACGCCCGTCCGTCTTTATCCCTGTCTGCGTGTGTCTTTCCCCGCTTGGCCGTCCTTGCACCCCTCACAACGCAGAAAAGATGAAGTGTCTTGGTCTCTGACAGGAGTAAGGACGAGGTGCTAGGTCCCCTACCACGAACGCATCAGAGGAGGATGCTCCGAACAACGACTCGGGAAAGGAGCTAGGGATGCGTATCCCTGTTTCCCAAACATCTCCGTCGGACCTTTTGTACGTCATCCTGTCTACATCTATGGTGCCTCTGCGACAATCAGTCATTGTCTCTCCCCTCCAAGCCACTCGGGTAGAGTAGGCGCCAAACAAGATCCCAACCTTCCCAAGAATCATGCATACAACAAAGCTGACGTTGGGATAGATTCGTACAAGCGAGGAACCCTTGTGTGTGACCACAGATTGGAGACAGCTCTTGCCCGCCAGAATTGAATGTCAATGTTGTGAGGAGCGCTGATTCAAAGTGATGTAAAATGGCGAACAGCAGTGTGGTGACGTAACTCACCAGGTTACGGTCCATGAACGTTACATCCACCCTTTCAACAATAGGCCTCCACTTAGGGTTAGGGTTAGGGCTAGGGTACAACATAGTGACGTCACTCACCAGGTTGCGGTCTCCGTGCACGTTGTCTACCCGTCCGACCGTAGGCCAGAACTTGTTGGCCTTCACCCACGGGGCCGGGAAGGCCGCCTGCGTGCGAGTGTAGGGCTTGTCCCACTCGTCCTCGAAACACGCCTCCCACGTGTGTGGCGCCGCCTTGAGCGGGCTGTTCGTTCGCGGCAACACGGAAAAGCAACAGGAGTACCGCGGTTTATGAGATTTCAGAAGAAGTGGTAGCGGTGGAAGGAACAAACAACGCAGGTGCCGCGATACAAAGCGGTAACAAAAGGAAAGAAGAAGAAGCGATTGCGGCAGAACGGAGCCACAACCGGAGTACCGCGGTACAGCGGGGGTCCCGATATACCCTACCGCGGTCCTGAGTAGTGCGGGTCCCGATACACCGCGGTACTAATCTTTTTTCACGGGATTTGGCTACCATGCTAGGAGCTCTATTTCCCTCACACTCAATACTGCTGTGTCCCGATATGCCGCAGCCAAGTTTTCCTGTCACTACACCGCAGAATATCGGGACCGCGACTAACTATACACTGTTAACAAGACAATAAAAACACTACTGTTAGTAAGAAGCGATGGCGGCGCTGGAAGGAAGGACATCGGCAGGTGGGTTCGAAAGCGCTGACGAGAGGAGAAGGAGAAGGGGGTTGAGAGTTGAAAAGTCCTACGTGAACGTCCATGAAGATTGCACACCAGCCACCGCTTTGTCAGGCGTGACTGTTTAGAAGCACGCCAAGAGATGGCCACACAGGTTGAGACAGCCACGCCAGGACGGCGCCAAGTGCCGAAGCCCAGCACACCATTACGATATGATAACCAGGTGTTGATATCCAACTATGGTGTTTGTAACTAAAAGTGTTTTTCTACGTACCTCTGCTCCACGGCAACCCGCCCCTCCGAAATGTCGTCGATCTCCTCCCTAATCTTGATCATTGCCCAGCAGAACCTGCCGCAAGAAGTGAACGTCATCATGCATGTGCATGTCACGGTTCATGCCATGATTCATTTGGTGGCATCATGGTGCATGTCACAACCATTCACGTCATGGTTCATTTGGTAGTATCATGATGCAAGTCACGGTTCATATCATGATTCATTTGATGGGGCGGTGAAGAGAAGAAAGAGAGGGTACGCCCATGGCGCCATGCCCAGAGTGGGAAGGGCCATCAACAGCAGCATTTCAACTACGAGCGACAAGACAAGCTCGATAATGCCTAAGCCGCGTGAGAACCGCATCAGAGCAAACGTTGAGAACGTCTAGTATCTCTCCTGGCGTAAGGGACATCAAGTATAAGCAATGTAATTATTAGTTTAGGGTCAACCACTGCTGTGCACACAGGATACCATGAAAACGATCAATGCTGTATTAAAACAAAAGTTAAAGTTGAAAAACACGTCAAAAAAGCAAAACAAAATACAACGATTTTCTCATAGAGGTTTTACAGCCAAGACAGCTGGTGAGCACTCAACATACCTCTTGCAAAACAAATAGTACGTCAGGAGTGCAGCTGGTTCGATGCGATGGCACAGCATTTAAATTTCAGCAACAACTCGCGCAGAGCTGCGTTTCTTAACGCCAAGTGATCCGTTTTCATGGCATGACACGACGTGACCTGGTTGGCGCTGTTCGGCCAGAAGAACTTTTAGTGTTGTCTCATCCTCACCTGTCCAACTCTCCCTTGTCCTCCGATTCGGTGGGCTCGATCATGAGCGTCCCCGGGACCGGCCACGACATGGTGGGGCTGTGGAACCCGTAGTCCTGCCGATAAAAAAACGAGGGGGGGGCGTACTCATTTGTTGCTTGCCGTAGTCATGTGACCATTGTTGGGGGTACTGCAGATTGGAATAATGACGTATCGGAGATAGGGTGCCGGGGTAACGAGACGGAACGGCATAATATCGCGCATACCCCGGCCCCCCCAGATTCTAGAAAGAACAGATCGCATAACGAAGGCAACGGCGAATGATGAACTACTGTTTCGTGAACGACCGGCCTATTGCAAGGGGAAGCGTTAGCATGATGCAATTAACAAAAGTGAGCCGTCAACAAAAAACTTCAAAAGCAAGCACGCGGGAACCCGGTGCGTCAACGTACTGGACACACGGGCTTGGTTGAGCTATCTGTACCTCCCTTTTCACATATTTTTCGCTCGGAACACGTGCTCATCTAATTCGTTCTCAACACATTTTTATTTTCTTGCTTGAGAGCGGTACGAACTTACCTGCAAGCGCTTGGCGACGTCCTCCTCTACGATGCCGGTGTGCTTGAAAGGCCGAAGGTCGAGGATGAACTCGTGAGCGCTGAGGCCGTCGCGCCCTCGGTAGACGACGTTGTAGTGCCCTGCCAGCTTCGCGGCCATGTAGTTCGCGTTCAAGATGGCCAGCTGCAAGAGAAGATCGTGATGCACACATGCAGACGATGCAAAAGAGTTCAAGATCAAGGTATCCAGCTGCAACAAAACATCATCATGCAAACCATGACAATAGCTCAAGACGCTGGTTCATGGAGAACATGGTGCAGTTCGACTTTAAGATTGCCAGCTGCGAGAGAAGATGTATCATGATGAAAATGATGACATAGATGGAAAATCTACAGACAAACCGTTACATCACGCAACAACTTTGGGCTGCATTTTTTACCTGCGTGGACTTCTTGAGTCCGGGCTCGCCGAGCATCTTGATGTACATCCACGAGATGGGCAGGATGGCGGCGCTTCCGAAGGGGGCCGCCGCGATTGCCCCCGTGGTCTTGGGGACGACACCTGCACCCTCCCCACCGGATGGGATGACCTATGCATACAAGCGAAGCGAAAAGAAAGGACTGTCTTGAACAACACCACCAAAAAATAGCGTTTGTTCTTAGCAGCAGAATCCTCGCCAAGAGACCGCTCTCACCAAAACTCGAGATATTTGATCACCTACTTCGAAGTACAAGGGAAGCTTCGAAACTAAATTGCTGCTTGAATAACACATGAAAAAAAAAAAAGAGCGTTCGCCGCCAGAAGAGAACACACGGATCGCCATATTCCAAGCTTTCAATGCCTGGTGAAACCAGCCCCCCCCACAAGCAACAACCTTGAAACACAACGCACAAATAAGTAAAGGAGCGAAAGGACACGAAAGCCGTACGCACACGCTCCGGGTCGGAGCTCGTCCACAACACTGAGGGAGGCAAGACCATATTTTTCTAATCATCCCATTCATGCAGCACGCGCAGGTCCTGACACCTTTCGGTGCAATTCTGGACGTACCACAATAGAGATCCTGAAAAACAACGCTGGCGTTAGTGACGAAACCATATCTGTCCATCCTCGGGACACATGCAACACAACCCCCACGGCAGCATTTGGGAGGAAAGGGAGAGTTCTCGAACTTACCGGGTGTCCCGGCAAGAAAGGCGCGAGGCGAGGGACTACCCCAATAGTCCCAACCCCGGGCCCCCCTCCGCCGTGCGGGATGCAGAAGGTCTTGTGCAGGTTGAGGTGGCAGACGTCTGCACCGATGTGCCCAGGGCTCGTGAGGGCAACCTGGGCGTTCATGTTGGCTCCATCCATGTACACCTGAAAGACAGCCAACAACAAATATGGTACGGTTGTAGAAAAAGAACATGTGGAAGGGTTGTTAGAACAAGGCCTCCAGAAGCACAAAAGAAGGGGAGGGGCGGGGACGAAGAGCGTGACCACAAAAGCAAAAATATGAAACAAGATACTGTAGATATCATCCGAAAACACCGGACTTCGGACGACAATCCGGAGAGCAACCAACCTGCTGCCGTTCATCACGCGGGCCTCCAAAGGATGCGAAAGAAACAAGAGAGGACGTGCGTACAACCCATGACAGCACCTCTCTCAGGGACGGGTCGTCGTTCACGAGTTACAAGCGACGAAGAGACCAGTCATGAGCTAGAAGCAACCAAGAGAAGCGGTGGGCTAAACGCCAACGCACCAAGCCTCCGTTGTCGTGGGTGATCTTGCAGATCTCCTTGATGCCCTCCTCGAATACGCCGTACGTCGACGGGTACGTGACCATCAGGGCCGCCAGCTTGTCCTTGTTCTTAATGGCCTACACACGCAACAAATAGACGTCACAGTAACGTCCGGAGTAAACAGGCAGGCAGGGAGGGAGAGGCAAACGCCCGTGGGCGAAACTGAAGTGAAAATGTCCTCGAACATTGGAGAGCTAACAGGTGCATGTGCATGTGCATGTGCATGTTGCATCGCCTAGAGCGAGGGAGAGAGGGCCAGAAGAAAGAAATGCAAAGCCTAATGGTCTCACCCGTGCACGGGGCAAAGCCTAGACAGCGTCAGAAGAAACCCATGACGCCGACCGAAACAACCTTACCCGAACCCCAACATGGCAAGCATCCTCCGCCCCTCCCCCACCTTGGTTCTCAAGTCTTCGATGTCGATGTCGCCCTTGTCGTCGCTCTTCACCACGACCACCTTCATGCCGGCCAGGACCGCGGAGGCCGGGTTAGTGCCGTGCGCCGACACCGGAATGATGCACACGTTCCTGTCTGTGTCGCCCCTGCTCAGGTGGTAGCTCCGGATGGCGAGCAGCCCCGCGTACTCGCCCTGGGCGCCGGAGTTGGGCTGGGCCGAGCACGCCGCGAAGCCGGTGATCTTGGCGAGGTCATCGTGGAGAGAGTCGATCATCTCCTTGTAGCCCAGGCATTGGCTGTCATTTTCGAGTGCGGAGACAGAATCAACAGGTAAGTAGAGGAGGGGGGGCAGGTGGTGGGTGGTGAGAGAGACCAACAAGCAATCAGATCAGAGGAGGAATAGGTTGTTTTGTTGGTTTGGGAGAGTGGGGAGATACCAACAGGCCAATAGAGGAGGGGGTGGCGAGGCAAATAGAGGAGGAGGTGTGGGTACAGCTCCACATGTGCGGCAGCAACAACTGCTGCTACATGGTTGGCTCCAAGGGACTGCAGAGCGGCTCTACCGATACTACCGTTAGCGTGAGGCTTGGTAATCCAAGAAACAGAAGGAAGCGCCAGCGCTTCACACGGTCCTTCATTCAGCCAACACGGCGTGCAATCACAAGCAGCGCGGTAAACAGAGAGCCCGACAGCAGCACCCGTATGTTTTTCGGCGATGTCAGATGTCACCGAGGGTATAAGGAAACAACAGCAGTGTGACAGACAGACAGACAGTCAGGGAGGGAGGGAGAGAGGCCCTCTGATAGTAGAGAGTGACATGGGGGCACTCGCGCCAACTCCTACCAAATATGTTTCCATTCTGCCACCACGTACGGTCGACACAACCCTTGAGTTTCAAAAAACGCTACGGCGCCTAAAATCGCGCGACTTGATCGAACGCCTACCCTATAGCCAGACGGCAACGGTCGCCGGGGAATTTTGGTTCTAGCTCATCGCTAATCCATGCGAGGCAAAGGAGGAGGAGGGGGCAGCGATATTCAGCCTTTCTAGCTCATGATTTAACCCATGTGAGACAAAGGAGGAGTACAGAGGTCAGGATATTCTGGTTTCCAGCTGATGGCTAACCCCTAGTCTGGGCCAAGGGAGCAGGAGGGGTCGTATGATACTGCTTTCTGGCTCATGACTAACCCGTGTGAGACAACGGAGGAGGAGGGTGCTTTCTTGCTCATGACTAACCCAAGCGAGGCGGGTTGCGTTTGTTGTGTTGTGTCTCACTGTGCCGGTGCGAAGGGGTGCATGTTCGCGAACTCGGGCCAGGTGACGGGCATCATCTCCGACGTGGCGTTGAGCTTCATGGTGCACGACCCCAGGCTGATCATGGAGGTGTTGAGGGAGAGGTCCTTGTTCTCCAAGCTCTTCAGGTATCGCAGCATCTGGGTCTGTTGGGTGAGGGGAAAAAAGACGGAAGAAAGTTGGTGTTTACGTCTGTTCTAGAATAGAAACGAGCTGGACACTACCGTCCGTCCCAAGCTGTCGGCGTCGATTGTTTCGTACCGCTATCGTCAATCCCATAATAGGTCTGCTTCGATTGTTTTGTGACGCTATCGTCATTTGTGACGCTATCGTCAATCCCATCATAGGTCTGCTTCGATTGTTTTGTGACGCTATCGTCAATCCCATCATGGGTCTGTTTCGATTGTTTGTGACGCTATCGTCAATCCCATCATGGGTCTGTTTCGATCGCCTCGTTGGGTCCGATGGTGAATACTCTTTGCACACTGCTGTGCGTTGCACTCTTCGCTGTAAAAGCGCAACGCACAGTGTCCAAAGAGTACGGAATACACCAGCGAACCGAATGGGGCGATCGAGACGAACCATCATGGCATTGGCGTTCGCGTCACAAGTCTCGAGTCACAAAGCAAGCGACGACGTCAAAAGCTTGGGGGCCGGCCGCTTTTTCTGAATCTCAACCTTTTGGGAGAAAAGCATTTTAGTTCTGTTTCGGTGATATTACGGCGGAACATGACGCGGTTCACGTAGAGCACGCCTCCCTGCCCGACAGTATTATCCCTGCCATGGCGTCAAGATAGACACGATACGAGTTATAATAGCAGTACTGTACCTCGCTGTGGTACATGTTGAAGACGGGGTGAGTCATGTACTCCGACGTCCTGACGAGGTCGTCCGAGAAGCCAATCTTGGCGCTGGCAGCCGCGGAATCCAGGGAAGACCCGGACACCCCGAAGCCTTCCAGCTGCATCATCATCATCACCATCATCACGAGCATGAGCAGGAGCAGCAGCAGCAGTAGCAGCAGCGGGATGGAGCAGGCGAATCATTGGCACACTGACATGGCATTCGACCGGACGCACAAATGACAGGTGTATCAATCACGGTTCACAGAAACAAGGTGATACTGACGGAGTGAAGAGAACGCCGATACGGTTCCCAGGCAATACCTTTGGGTGAATACCGTACGTGACACAAAGTACCACACCCACTGGACCGACTTTTAGAGCTCGATTACTCCACGACGAAAAAAGGAAGCATGAATGAAACGATATCTACGTTTTTGGAAAGCTCTCTCCGCAAGACGGCTCCAACGCCTCCCGGCATTTTAGGCACCGCTACTCTTTCTCCCTTAGATTAGAGAACTCGAGCTCAGAAAACCGGTCAACGGGTTGTGATATTTTACCACACCCACGGCAGTCTTGTGTATTTTGTGGCACGGGTAACGACGGAACGCTAGGATAGCCTCGGACCAACAACATTGAACAAGAAATTTCGGGCCTCGTGACGCGGGGCTTCGTCAACAAGCGGCCTCAATACCCATCCTTATACAGCAGCAGTCATGACTTCGATGTAAGACAAGAGGGTGGTACCACAAAGGCTCTCGACCCTTATAATATCGGAGCATTCTCTCATACCGGAGTACCACCCAACAATGCTGTAGCGGGTCGAGTCCGTGACAATCGCAATCAACCCTCAAATATCATCGGAGTTTCTTCTTCAAAGGTGCCCTCATGTGTATATCGGAGCCCCTTCCTGCAAAGTATCCTCCTATATCGGAGCCACGAGTGTATCCTACACTGGTCCGTGACAACCGATTCCGACCCAGTCCCCTGTTACAAGGTGGCCTCTAATGTCGGGTCTACGACTGCTAGTGCATCCACAATACAATTGTTTGGTTTGGTCTTCTCGTGGGTCCTTAGCTTAGCTTAGCTTAACTTAACTTAACTCAACTTACCAGAGCAACAACGTCGTCCTTTGTGATGGACTCGCCGAAGCTCAGGCCGATAGTCTTGTCGTCGATGACCCGAACGTTGGCACCCTTGGCCTCGCATGCCTGAGCGATGGCCGTGGAGCTCGTGCCCTTGGCGGAGACGTCCACTAGATAGGATAGGATAAGCGTGTTCCCGGGGGTGGTGCCGGTCCGGCCGCGTCGCAGCACAACAAGGGTCGCAGGCGGTGCCAGGGTATAGTCAGGCACTGACTCTGACAAGCGAGCGGTGCTATAATAGTTCCTGCACCAAGACCTTCCACAAAACACAAAAAAGTTGCTATGGGCTCATTGCAAAGTTAATTTATCCTGGACTCTTGTCCGTGGATTGTAGGGATGGGTGGGCCGTGCTTTTCTCAAAAAAAGAAAAAAAAAGCAAAGAGAGAGGACAGGGCGAGGAACAAATCTGGCATGTCCACCCTATCCCCCAAGCCTCGCTTACCGGAGAAGGTGTCGAAGAACTGTTCCGAAGACACGCCGAAGCCGGCCTCCTTGAGAGCCGCCGCCGTCACCGCCGCCATCCCGTTGATGCGCTCGGCGATGCCCTTGATGCCCTCGGGGCCGTGGTAGACACCGTAGGAGGCGGCCATGTTGGCGAGGAGGGCCTGCGCCGTGCAGATGTTGGACGTAGCCTTGTCTCGCCTATAGTTGAAGGAAACCACACAGACGCACATCCGCCAAGAGGAGGAAAAGAGGAGGAAAAGAGGAGGACAATAGTGCGATAGCGGCGAGACAAGAGGGGGAGGGGGGGGGATAGAAGGCACATTGTTAATGTTGATGCAACAACAACACGATGGTTCCACGATTCCATGTTCTACGTTGGTTGTGGATTGCACAACTGAGCAAAACGTTTGCGTGAAAGAAGGATGCAGCCCCTACAATGTATGTACCATACACAGGCCCCGTGGAAGGGAGGGATGTGCCAACAGGACAGGCAGGTGTAGGAGAATCGGTTTCCCTGTTCGAGTCTTGCAATTCTTCCTGTGGGGGAGGCGTAGTCGACGGTTCCCTTTGGTGGGAGGCGTGTCGTGCTTATTTGTTTCATTTAGGTTTGTTCATCACTTCAAATAAGCACTCACAGCCGCTCTGACGGGTACGAGCTACAATGCATGTTTGGAAACAGATAATAAATAAAAAAAACCTGCAGATATGTGTTCCATTTACAGCCAATTATGGGGTTATTTTCTCCAAGTGAAAGAAGAACGAGACCTGTTAGACCTTTGCGTCTATTTCCTTAGGTCACAAAAGTTAACAAAGTTAACAAGCTAACAAGCCTTCCCACAATGCAACACGTGTGCCGTCCATCACTCCTCCTAACATGGTGGTCGTCATCGTCAAACGGAAAACAGACCCACCGGATGTGCTGCTCGCGCGTCTGCATGGCCATCCGGAGGCAGGGGGCCCCGCGGCTGTCGATGGTGACCCCGATGATGCGGCCAGACATGCGGCGGGAGTACGAGTGCTTGGAGGCCATGAAGGCAGCGTGCGGGCCACCGTACCTGTAGAGCAACAATTTCCGCGGTATGCATACATGACAGCAATTACCACGGTAAAAATGACAGGTCAGCGAACGGGGGTTACGCAGAACGGATGGCAGGGGTGGTGCCGGCAACCGGCGTGCGGGTCACCGTACCCGAGCAGCAACAAATGATCATGGTACACATTACATGTCTGCAAACAGTAACATTTGGTACTTTTGGTATTCTTAAGGATGATGGCAGTCGATGGCTTCGTGCATATGCCTTCGTGCGGTCATGACGTGTCTTGATCAATGTTTTGTGGTCAGGTCATGATATGTCTCTTTGTCTTCACTTCATGTATTGTAAGACTATTGTCTTCACCGCCACCACCACGACTCGGGCGTCACTCTACGCGGCTTCTCGTCTTTTGATAGTCTGCCTTCTTCTTGTCACCCTCCCGTGCAATCATCCACAAGGCAAGACCAAGACCACGTCTATCATCGATGGGGATGATGCATGACTTGGTAAATGTCTGTTCTTAGTAGGTTACGTCTTGCATGTCCAGAGTGAGCACGCATGTGCTTCCGCATGGCCATGTTAAGCTTCGCCCGTTCTCCAACGAGGCTATTGTAGGTCTGCGCAGCTCGTGATGACAGGATTTTTTTCTTGGTGTTTTTTTTTTTTTGTCTTACGCGTGTCTTTTTTTTCTCTTCTTTTTTTTTCTGTCCTACCCCAGGGGAACGCCGAAGCGCTGAGCGGAGCCGACGGCGATGTCCACCCCGAAGTCTCCCGGGGGCTTGAGCATCGACAATGACATGAGGTCGGTTGCTGCCACGACCAGGGTGCCGGCCTAAGGATACACCAACAAGGATACGGAGGAAGGGGACAGAATCAAGATTGCGATGCTTTCGTTGAGAAGGTAGGAAAGCTCTCGGGCGACAGGATTAGTCGAGATAGCTCGACAAATCGACGCGGGATGAGAAAATACTAACGTGGTAGGTCATGAGACTGGTGAGAGACCAAAAAAGGGTTAAGAACCTTTCTCGGGAATACAACAGGAGGACATCATCACGTGTCATCACCCATAACCTATTGCCCGTTCCGCGTCACTACTCGTGAGACAGATTGAACCTCCCCCCCCCCGCCCAATCCAAAACAGATACCAGGGGTGCCCAAACAACCCATTGCATACAATTACTGGTTTGGCACAGCAAACGCAATTATAGGATGATGACGAACAGCTTCTGGTTCTCATCCTTGTGCAACGTGACCCATGTAGCCTGGGCCGGCGAAAACCCGGCACATCCCTCTCTCTCGGCATTGTAGGGATGCGAGGTCTAACGACTACGGCATGCGTCTGAGAGGGCCCGAGGTACATGTCAGGTTCGGTGGCGAACTCACGTCGTGGGCCTTCTTGACGAACTCCTCGGGGTTGATGACGTCACCGTACGTGTTGGGGTACTGGATCAGGGCTCCGCTGTAGTCCTCTCCGGAGAAGTCCACCGTCTTCGGGTCACCCACCTTTTTTTTCGTTTTTGTTCGCGGAGGTGAAACCGCACAGGTGAAACCGCCGGCGCAATGGCGAGGAGAGGTTAGACGTTAGACGAGGGTCACGAAAATATGGGAGGAAAGAAGCGTGACCCACCATGCGGGTAGCTTGGGGTTGCTACATACGGGGGGGGTGTAAGCCGGTGTGCGGAAATGGGCGAAAGGATGTGGGTGAGCGGTTGCATTTCTTGTTTCCCGCCCTCAAAGTCTCTACAACCTGTTTGTTTTTAAGTTCGTCACAATAAATCAACGCTGACAACATTTCTGCCGGGCAGTTCCAACACGTGGTCACATACGTACAGGGGGAAAAATGCGAGACGAGGCAAGCGCGTACATAGCAGTGGTAATGGATCTGTATGTCCTGCCTAGGGAACTAATACAATAGTGATTCCGGAACCTATCACCAAAGGGCCGCTAGCCGCTAGCTAACTTCGGGGAATGGGGGAGGAGCGGGTGGCGATGAGGCACTCACCACGATGTCAAGGTTCAGGGCGCCCCCCCTGGTCTCGACGAGAGTGATGTTCTGCGGGTGGCAGTCCTCGGCAACGAAGAACTTCTTTCTCTTGCCGTTCTTAAGGCCGTTGCACCTGCATAGCCGCAGCGGCAGCAAAGGTAGGCAACACAGGGATGATCAGAAAAAAACGCAAGATAAACGCGATTGGCGTTGGGGTCGGAGACAAGAGCCCAGCAACGTTCCTACTAATAGGGCAACTCTCGAAAAAACACTATCACCAGCAAGAGTGACCATCACCGACACAATCGATCTTTCTGATTTTCAACCGTCCATTATCCCAAACGCACGAAAAGCGGCGGTAAAAAATGTGCAATACACATATGCAAACAACGCCAACCACAAAAAAAAAAAAACGTAACGCGAAGGTACCAAAACACCATCCCGCACGGCCTGCTTCCCTGTGCCCTCTGCCTTTGGCACATTCGCCGCCATTCCCAAGTCCGTCTTACCGAGGCTTCTTCTCCCAAATCGCGCAGTGTTTCACATCGCCCAAGGCCACCACCCAACAACTTCAATATTTCAACCAGCCGACGCCTTCGTGTTGCAACACATCTCGAACCGAACCAAAAGTACTTTAATGCTCCAGGGCCTTCACGGACCCAATAGAGAACGGATGTCACGACGGTATCATGCACCACAAGGTAAACGCCATCTCACCTAAAAAATATCGTGATTCTGCGCATGAGTTCTGAGGGGGTGAGGTAGCGACGACGGTTGAGGCAGGTAATTGTTGTGTCCAAGAAGTAGCGACCATATTCTCTACTCGAGAGGAGGCTGGAGTTGTAGTTCGATGTGAGGGCGGCACGACTCTACTTCATACCTTGAGGTATGGGTTTTAGAGTGCTCTACTCAAAGCTAAAGCTCACATAAACATGGCTTCCGCGGCGGCGGTGGCCTCATCCAGCAAAGAAGCGTTTGACATGTCCATGCCCGTCAAGTCAGCCACCTGTTGCGTAGCACCGGCACCAATATTTCACGAGCGTTGAGCAACAGCAAAGGAAACACCCACGCGAAACTACCATCACCACCAACACGCATTCACTGGGGTGCCGCACAACTAGAGACATTCCTTGCAGTACTGCATCACACCACAAGATATATGATACCAAAAAGAGACATGGTAGTGTATGGCCATGTTGCACATGAAAGAGAAGACTAGACTGCTGCAATTGGAACCCCATCGCGCGGCAGGTGATGACGCCCCGACGACAAAAATAAAAAACAAAAATAATATCCACATCTCCACACCTCTTCCAGCACACGATTCAGCAGGCCAAACACACAAGACGTGGCACCACCAAGGTCATCGTTACATTCATCACTACTACCACTAGCATCGACATCGTGCCTGCTGCCATCAACCATCACCGGCACAAGTTGTACCTAAAACGCTAACAGCAGATATGCAACATCAGCCAGACCCATATCACCGCGACATAATGGGATACTACGGCACTACAGCGTACCATGGTCTGGAAGTTGAGAAGGGACTGCAGGCGGCCCTGCGAGATCTCCGCCTGGTAGGGGGTGTAGGCCGTGTACCACCCGGGGTTCTCCAGCATGTTCCGCAGGATGACGGGCGGCACCGTGGTTTCGCTGTACCCCATTCCGATGAAGTTTTTCATCACCTGTCCGGCGTCACCAATCGTCGTTCGTTGTCGTGGTCGTGGCTGTCATCCTAATGTCCTCACACAAAATGTTTGTCGTAGGTCGTTGATATTACTTTTTGGTCACGGTTCCTGCTGCTGCTGCTGCTGAGAGACTTTGTTCGCCTATCCTACTTCTTGGCAGAGGCTGTGTCTCTAGAATACGACCATCAGTCGGGTTTCGTGGTGCCAAGATGTATGTGTGAGATGGACGAAAAGGGTGTCTCACAACCTCTCTTGCTTAACAAAGCTTGCTGAACGCTGAACATTCCTCCCAAACATGAAGAGGTATTATTCCAACACGACTGCATAGGTGCGATCCAAACACAAACAGGAGCTACTCTATTCTTTTCTATCCACCTCCGCCGCTCTTCATAAAAATATATCACCTGGTTCTTGTCGGCGATCTTCCGGATGGCAGTAAGCGCTTCGCTTTCCGATAGAGCGTCTTCGAGGTCCAGCGGCTGCAGTAGCAGTAGCAGTAGCAGTAGAAAGAGATGCCATGTAGACAGGCAGGGGGCAAACAGAAACGGCAGGCATGACGCATAAGTTATCTCACGTTGAGGAAGCGCCAACGACAGGCCGAACAACGGTAGCTAGAGGAGCAAGCCAAGCGACGATAGGGGTGAAAAGCACACAACGGCAGTCGGACCAACCGAGCGAGCGTGGCACAAAGAGGGACTACCAGAGCAAGCGCAACGTTTATGTTTTATCCGAAAAAACTCCAACAATATTCTGAACCGAAAAAGAAAAAGGAGCTTAACACAAAGTCGTTTTCAAGTTGTCTCGGGTCGCCCTGTCCTATAGCAGTACCATCTTCGACTTTGCGCATTGCCGACGATGTAGACTAGGTGCGTTGCCGACGTCTCTCTCCAAGAGTTTTCTCTTTGTTGTCTCCACTTTGAAAAACCGTTCCGGTCTCTGCTCAGCACGGACGGTTCCATCTACTACCCGTACCGGTCCAGCTGAGCATTCCGTGGTCATGGGCGAACCACCCGAAGAGCGGTACTCCACACTATAAAAAAACAATACAGAAAACTCATCACAGAACATGACCAACAAAAAACCAAAAAGGGACGCGCACCCTGGAAAGCTACCCCAAACCAGGCACAACAATGTACTCGAGTACCGCCATAGTGCTCCTTGGGGTCGATAGCCACGCACGTACCTCATCGAGACGGATGGAGTGCGGCACCGTGCGATCGACGAGGTCGTCCAGCGACTTCACGCCCACGGTCTTCATCATCACCTCCACGTCCGCATCGCTTGGACCGATGTGCCGGCGCGCAAACTAGAACAAGACGACCACAGGGGGGGGGACAAAGGCGAACACGGTGGTTCGCTTCAGGTGGAGGGGCACGGGCATCCATCACGTGCAAGGGCATCACCTGCAAAAGCACGCTTCACCTCTTCTGCGTCCAGTTTCACTCTGATTCAACCACCGGCGGAGAGGAAACCCCCCCCACGTTTGCAGGGGGGGGGATGGGGGGGGGGGTGCGTGAGTCGGAAGTAATCTCCTCAACCGGCTGCTGCCCTGCGTTGCTGTGTTGCCGTTGCTTTTCCCATGTTATGAAAAAAACATTTCTTAGCAAAGCGTGTACAGGAGGCGGTCCTCCACCGCCCTCCCCCTCCCCAATAACAAATACCTACCCTGGTATTGCAACATTACACACCAAACATCGGCCGCAACACTGTCCCCCCAAAACAATCCGAATCAACGAGGGAGGCCAGACCAGAGAGAAGCCCGGAAAAAGAAAACAAAAAAACACGCACGTGTGCACGGATGCATAGATGCAAACCCGCAACACGAGCTGCTTGTTGCCGCCAACGCCGCACAGACAAAATGCTGCCTTCCCGCAGCGACTACAGCAGCATACTGCTGTATTATAGTACTCATGTCTTATGTTGTCGTTGGTCGTACGACTATTATAGCGCAATCGATGGTAACAAAAAAAACGCCCACACACCCTGCGCCTATTGCAGTCTTTAGAAATGGCCGGCGGTTCAAGGGGGGGTGTAGACGATCTGTAAAACTCCGCACAAGAAGCCCGATAGCTACAAGAGTGATCGATTGTTTCTAAACACAACTATGCGGAATAAGAGAGATTGGCGTCCGTCCCACGGGTCAGCCCGTAAGAGCGGTCGATGCTACAGCCCATGAGAATACACGCATGCCAACCAATCAGAAGCAAGCTAGCCCCGAGCGAGAGCTCTAGGTTAGAGGAAACGGGGTCCTTTCCTACACTTCAATTGCTCGCGGAAAGGGCGAAACAAAAAAGCAGGTGAACGCACAGCCGTAGAGATTACCGCCGTACAGTATTGGTCGGTATTATAGCATACACACCCGCAGACACACCGCTGTTTGTTGATGGGGGCGTAGAGCAGTTTGCATACAAGTGTGGGCGGGGCAAAACGACGTGACTAAATAACAACATTACGGAGATAGTCTCTAATGCCAAGACGTAGCTGAAATGAAAGTGTGGCAAGGTAATAACCAACGTATTTTCAGTCTATTATCTGGTATGTAGGCCGTAAAGGCTCCTGGAGGGGTCTGGGTGAGGCCCTGAGTCACCACATGACTCATACCACCCTTGCGGCATGATTCACCGCATCCTATTGTAGAATGCACATGTAGTACACGGCGGGCTTTACAAGGGTATGAATACTTACAAGCGGCGGAATCGCCACTGAAACAACGTATTTTCAGTGTGCTATCTGGTACGATATGGTTGCCAAAAGAGGCCGTAAAGGTTCCTGGAGGGTCTGGCCAAGTCCTTGAGTCACGACATGACTCATGCCACCCTTTGCGGCATGATTCACCGCATCGCCTTGTAGAACACGCATGTAAACAATATAGGCGGCGGGATCGCGACCGAATATCCAAGCTCTTTCCGCACGTGCCGACGATACCCCCTTCGCTGTTTCCGCCGCTGCTGCTATTCTGCCCGTGGGGGTCCACCGGCAGCAGGCAGGATGGCATGGTGGCATAGCACACGCGTCCCTTAACTCGCCGAGACAACCGCGTTTTCACTGCTGTAATGATCAATGTTTTTGAAATCGAGCCAGCAGATTACAGTCTCGAATCCTTTTTTTTCAACCGACGCACTGCTGGATTGATTGAGACTCGTCTTGCTACTGCCGCTGTCTCCTGCATAGACTGCTGTATGCTATTCCTCACCGTGTCCTTGGCGGCAAAGATGTCATCGGCTGTGGCGGACAGCGGTCTCGTCGAGGCCAGCACCGCGGTCTTCCGCAGCGTGAGCGTTGACTGGAGGGCGGCCTGTTTTTGTGTCCGAAAGAGCCAGAGCCAGAGGTGCGATCGGCGAAGAGTCAGGAGATGGTACTGCTGCTGTACAGCAGTTTGACAAAAACGCCAAGAAAAACAAACCTACAATCACAACTCTTGGTCAGGAGCACCGGCATTGATATGCATTCGTGGCTGCTTGGGGACAAGCGGCGGGAGGTTCCTTGCTCGTACTCTTTCGGTTTTCGACGAAAACGTGCACACCCGCCTGGCTGGACTGATCGCTCCCCCAACTTGTTCCTCTCGGCGGGCGTACCACTACTGTCGTCTTCCAAGCCCTCCACCATCAAATATCAAAATTGAGGTGTGTCGCGGAGCGCTCTACATGCGAGACGGCCGGCTACGAAACCTAATATAGGGGTAGACGGGAGGTGACCGAGCTGCAACGCCGCAGCAGGAACGGCTGCAAACCTCGTCCTCCATGTGCGTCGTGTGTATGTGTACATACGTTCAACCATTGTTTGTCGCCGAGATCCTGCTGCACACGTACGCGCGGAACAAAGCGGGTCGCAACTACACGCAGCTGGTTACAAAGCGCAATCCTTCACGGCCGGCGAGCGAGTGGTGTACAGCACCAACCGCAACCCGTGCGGATCCGTCCTTCCCTTAGCTCGGCTTTTCCGGCCTATGGGCACAGCTCATGCTTACAGGGGTCGGACAAGGCTACAACCCCGCTGCGAAGTCAGCACAAGAGAGTGAACTGACAGTTCGGCTACATAGCTCACCCTTCGGGCCGAGATTCTGCCTGCGATCATGTTAGAAGTCTCGCTTGTTGTTCCCTAGCCGCTGCGCCTTGTACCCACACAGCTCGCTGCTGATGGTGTAATAAAGCTTGTCAGCGTGACGCGTGCGGGAGATAATGATCCCGGCCAGTTGTGTAATGATGCGTACGCGACAAAATCTCTCGCCCGCCAGCCCTCGCACACATGGATGCTCAAATAAAAAAAATGAAAAAAACGAAAGGAGGCGTGTTTTAGGCGGCGTGTTTTTTCGTCCGGGCTGCCTGCTGTGTGCCCGCGGTGCTGTGCCGTTCTCGTGTTGTCATGCAGATAGCGTGTAACAGGTAACGGGGAGAGGGAGGGAACCAGGACGCGCCCACACCATGCCACCACGGCCGCGAGGGGTCGATGCGCACTACGCCATCGCGGCGGTCGCCGTCACGGTGTTGATAAACAGGAGGAAGGACCTCAAGCTCATCCCGGGGCTGTTGCATCCGAATGGAGGCAAGACGAAGAAGGTGGGTGCGTGTCATGTCATGACATCCAGGACACTGGTATGCAAACAGCCCTAGATCTTGGTTCAGGAAGCCCTGTGCGTCTACCAGCATGCACGCGCCTTGTGTGAGAGAGTTCGAGGGGTGCTTTGGTGGTGCGGAGAAAAGCATGTGCCATCTCTTGTACACGAGACGAATTTGAATTTTTGTTGCGTGAGTGCCGGCATCGGTCGACACACACAACATCGGAGAGCGGAGAACGCAGCAGACAGAGTAGCACCTTTTGTGCTCTACGAACGGAAGGGCGATACTTGTGTATGGCACAGTGCGGGAGGGTCCCCCATAACACACCGCTGCTTAAAGTTAAGATTTCAGGCGGAGTGTTAATGGGGTCTTGTTGCTTTCGCTCTCTCCCCCAGTACACGTGTGCAGCTATTTACGCGTACAGAGTAGCCTCTCCCCCTCTTCTTGTCGCTGCATGATCCCGATTCCCGAAAATGCTCAATGACATTTTAACTGGCACATCACCTGCTCTAGACTACATGTACTAGTGATGTCACATGTGTACACCTTCTTCGAATCGACAAAAACTACTGAGCAAACATGCATACGTGCCACAACCGCAGTGGAATCTGACTGCAGCAGAGTCTAGACTCCCGTTGTAGGGGACACAAGATACCACACCCCCTGGACCGGACTGAATCTCGACTACCGTTGTATGCGTAAGCGGAGATACGTATGCCACCCCCCAAAACACCGACTTTCAAGGCTAGGTATATGTAGGTTACTCCACAACCGAGGGGGTGCGGAAAGAGCCTGATGTTTCATCTGCTGGACAGTTAAATTTCAGAGGTGCGTGAGCGCTCCTAGTTACATTGTAGACTACGCCAGGACAGGTGTGAATACATGACGCCTTCAGACGCGGTCGGTCCAGTCTGCGTCTACGTCCGGTATATGCTCATGCTCGGTCGATCTCGGTATGGGGCGAGGTGTGAGGCGTTCTGCCCCTCCCCCTCGCGCCCTCACCTCTCTCGCGAGGTGTGTGTACTGTATCCTATCCTCTTGGTGCGAGGAGTTTCATCTTGAGCTTTCGCCTTCCTTCCCCGAGCTGTATCAATGCACGGTATCGAACTGCTCGCCAGATCCGTCGATTCGAAAATCCGAGTGTTGGCCTACTTTCGTTTCTCAACCGCAACGATGTGTGGAGTACCAGGTACAGGTGTATCCAATCCCTGGAAGTTGTAGTGCTCGCCACGTTCGAGGTACCGATGGTTCGAAACACCTCGTTATCCCACTTCAATCCAGATGCTTATCGGCACCGGGGGCATCTTCGTGTTCGAGCAAGTCGTGAGGAAGGCGCTGGCCAAGGCGGGTATCAAGCTTCCCTCTTCCCTCGTGTCCATGGTGTTGGCCTTCATCCTGCTCAAGGTGTGTGTGTGTGAGTTTGGACGTTGCACGTTGTCCTAGAGAAACAAGATTGAATGCTCTGCGTCGTCGGCTGGCCGATTGTGGTATGCTTGCTTCAGGGGACCCAAGAACGCGATTCGATTGCTTTCCCCCCTACTAGCCCGCGTCCTGTTTGTCGGCGGTATCAATTGCTGTGAGTAGGCCGGATTCAAGGGTTCAAAGCGCTCGCAAGAAAAATGCGCACAACACGATTCCGTAGCGTCCCTGGTGCGGCAGATGTGTCTCTTCCCTACGCAGAGGTTATTGCAGTGGACAATGTGCGTGGCGCTGTCAGGATTTACCCATTTACCCGTGGCCGAGTGAGGTTACCATCAGCCCCGAAGGGACAAAAATGCTTGACCACCCCCGCCCTCCCGCGTCTGTCTGCTGTCCTGTGTCACCGCCACACTCTTGCACCTCTGTATTGTTCAACCGCCCGACCAATGGTTGCCTACATGTAGACACCGCCCTTCTTTCCACGGCAGAAACACGTCCCGCTTGCTCTGACCCCTTCACTTCACGTCCGCGCTCGCTTGCTTGCGACCACGACAATACCCACACCCATTTATTAAGGCGTACGAGTCGTCGAATGGCAAGGAGGAGGCGGACAAGGCCGCAGACTACTTCGGCCCCGCGGTGGAGCACCTGGGGAAGTGGATGCCCCTCTACCTGGCTCCCCCGCTTATCGTCCTTCCGAACGCCCTCTCGGAGGTGAGGTTGGACCGCTGGTCGCTGCCGCCTGTACCATGTGCGTGCTTCGATGTATCTCTGTTTTGGAGGCTCGGTTAGGCATGGTGTTGCCTATGTGCGGTTGTTGGGGTGTACTGATTGGCGATCGTGTAGGTCGCAGGGCGCACCGAATTTTACCCGGCATTGTAAGGACCATACGTGTGCAAGCGTGAGTACAGCAGTAGATCAATGGTCCCTATGCTGTGCTCCCAAACAGAGTGGTGTACTATATCCAACATTCTTTGATCGATGTGTTGACCGTGGTACGCGACTCGCCCGGCCGAGCGTGGGCCCTCTGTCCTGTTATAATCGTCCCACCTATCCACCCGAAGTGGTAACTAAAAACACGTTCGATCGTTACACTTGTCTAGTGTTTTGAAGTATTATAGTTCTCAACCGCGACCGTGCGTGGCGATCCGTGCTCTTGTTCGGTGTTCCATATTCCACGCAGGTGAAGGGTGCGGCGATGTGGGCACGACTGGGGGGCGTGCACGTGGTGGGTTGGGCGCTGTCGATTCTGTCCACCGCAGCCGTCGCCAAGGCCACCCAGGTAACCGGAGTCCCGCCGATGTTGGACTTGGTACAGCGCAAGTTGTGCGCATAGGACCACCCGAGCAGGGAACTATGCATAGCTGGCTCGGCGCATTTTGCTGACCCGTTGGTTCAGCGCGGAATATTTCGCAGTTTTTGCAGAGAGAGTGAAGATTTCTGACGGAGACAGATAGGGAGTTAAGGCATCACGGGGGGCGTACGGTCGGCCAAATCACAAAGATATTCACGTCCGATGCAATCGTGGTACGTCCGTTGTATCCTAGCTTACGACGGCCACAATCCAAGCCGCAACTTGGTCACTTATTTCCGGTGTTCCTCGTATCAGTATCAATAGCTGGAGGAAGAAATAACCACCCTTCCCGTGGAAAACTCGCGCTATTCATTCGAATGGTTGAACAAAACTAAATAGTGATTGAAGGAGTTCATATTTCATAGCCATTATTCCACCGCTCTTGGAACGCCATTCGTGGGAAGGGGATTTGGTACTGCAAGATTTTACGTGGCATAGTATGGGAATAACCGTCAAAGAGCGCCCGGGCGTTGGTGGGTGAGCCCTTGATGGGCCAGAGATATCGCTGGGTCGACGAAGAGGTGCGCTGTCAATGACGTTGTCGTGGGTACGGTCGCACATGAATCTGTGCCTTCCCGGTAGACTGCACCACAATTCTCATTCCTGTCCACATCCCTGTAATAACCAGAACGCCAGCGACGCGTCGAAGCCGCCCGGCGCTGGAGGCGAGGTGAGCACGGGGGGCTTCGCAGAAGCCGTCCCCGCGGAGCCTGTGGGCGGGGTGCAGGACGCCGCCGCCGTGGGCGACATGAGCGGGGAGGGTGCCGGTTGTGACACGAGTGCTGCGGCTACCGGGGAGGAGGGAGGGGCCAAGGTTAAGAGCAAGGTGAAGCTTAGGAGGCATGCCGGGGGTGCTTTCATTTTTTGCATGCCTTAGCGGTCAGACCATTCGCCGCGCGTCCTCGAGAGGACGTGGTGGGTTGGGGGACAGACAACATCCCCACGTTATGATCACATATTCTGTTATAGGCGCGGGAAGCGTCCGGGTTTTCCCTCTCGGCGTTGGCCACATTGACCCCCAGCAAGCCTGCTCCAAAAGCATCAGGGGCCGTTTCCACCCACCGACGTGTTTCATTTTATCATCCACTCCTCAAGAGCCGTAAACCACGTCGGATGGGAGACGGTGTCGACCATTGTTTTGCGGTAGATGTACCGTGGAGTGCATTCGCCACGAACCGATGGTCGACACCGTCTCCTATCCTGTGTGGTTTCCGGCTCTCTGGTTGATGAGAGGATGAGACACTACTGTCACTCACTGACGTGTTGCATGTTTTCATCCTACTCTTTCAAGAGTCATAAACCACGTAGTATATGAGACAGTGTCGACCATCGCTTTGCGGTGGATGTACCGGGAAGTTCATTCGCCGCGAAGCGAGTGTCGGGCCTGCCCCGTATCTCACGTGGTTTCCGCCTCTTGGGGGAGATGAGAGGATGAAACTCGTCGGTGAGTGGACGCGGCCCCGGATGCTTGTGGTGCTTATCGTGCTAAATAGTCCCCAAGAGTCCAACCTGTGCCTCCAGCACGGCACGTGCGTAACACGCGTCTCCTGCTCTAGAACAGAACAGCACATGCATGTCCAAGAAAACCACGTAGGGCACGGGACCGGGAGTCCCCCTTTCGAACTTCGGCACTGCCGTCGGCGTTGGTGTTGGGGCGGGGTTCCCTCCAAGCCTAGGTATCTTCCAACTACGGAGCCATGTAGTCCACTGTGCTTCTCGTCCTGGTTGGTCAGAACGTACACGCTTCCGGCGTTCACCTGCCGCCAACGAAGTCGTTGCTTGCCGACCCCGGCATTGTTGCGCGTTTAAAGTGTGCTGCGCCTTGTCCCTCCTGTCCTAGATTGGGAGCGGGTCGACGCCGCCGCAGTAACTCGTTCGTCCGGAGGCGGGGGACGTGTTGTACTTTTTTATTGGTCTGGGTGGGACGTAATCGTATCGCGGGTATCTGTTTGTGTGGCTTGGGTACCCACGATATGATTCTACTGCTGTGATGTGATGTGATGTGATGTGATATCTCATACGTTGGGTATCATGTGAGATGATTGCATTGGTAGGGTGATCATGTCGTGGGCAACCCGTGATATGACTACTCCAGGGGACCCGCATATATTACAGAGGGGGTACGTACCCCCTTCTGAGAGACACGCAGGCTTACGGCGGGGGGCAGTAAGGGGTGCGCCTACATCGGCCCTACCCCCAATATGATAACTTAGCCGTGTAACCATTTCATGGGTAGGTCCCTTGACTTGATTGTAGACTGGAGAGCTCTCATGGAGGTGATAGACTAAAATAAACAATCGAGTAACAACCCACGATAATGCTTGCTTACCCGAGTAGTGATGATAGTGACGGTAGGGGCGAGGTTGAAAGCAGACGGAGGGCGGTGAGGTGGGGCGAGGGGGGGAACGCGGAAGAGACATCGTCTTAAGGCTGCCCGGACTCCAACAAATACCCCCCCACACCCTACTTCGCCTCGCGTCTTCGCGGTGCCCCTGAAACGAACAACCATGATCAGGAGGAGAAGGCCGCGGACATGCGGAAGGCCTGGGCGGTGATCACCGCGGCCACGTACGCGCTTCTGCCGTGGTGCGAGGAGGGGCCGGCGGCGGTGAGCACGACCGTCCTGTCCCTCTTGCACGCGAATGCGCTGCCCCCCGGCGTGAAGAAGGTGAGCCCGAGGCCCACATGCCTCGACTGAGTTCGAACGCGAATTTGAATGAATCATGGCGCTTCTAGAAGGATATTCTGTTTCTTAGAGCTGGGCTGTCGTCTCTTCAGAAAATGTGATTTGTCTCCTTTCCAGGTGGCCTACGGGAGGGTGTGTGTTCTGTGCCTTTCTAACGCTGCGCCGTGGCGTACGAAAGACTAGCTATATCATAGAGTGGTGGGAACGCACAACTACCGTGGAATGGGTTGAGTTTTAAGGGTGGGGTGCGTGAGGTCGTTCGGTGTATGGTGCTGTAGCGTCTGCTATGCAGAGGTGTTCCTTGTGGGAAAATAGTGGCCTCCAAGATCTACAAACGGTTTCCCACCGAAAACGTGTTCTGTTGTACCAGTTTATTTTGCGGTCGAGGGTGGATGGCGTGAATGTTCGACGTTGCTATCCGGTCGTGTTGTTGTGGTTGTTGCTTGTGGAGTACTGCTGTACCCCTTGCCGCCGCGTTGCTTGCAAGAGGATGGTTTGTGTGAGAAGTTAGTAACCCTATCCCCTGGCACGTCGTATGTGTACGTCGACCTCGGTCTCTTGCGGGTGAGAGCATGCATATCTTGCACCCATATTGGTGGTCTACAGTCTTATCTTTCTTCAACAGACTCGGCTTATTCTCTCTTCATATTTTTGTCCCCATTTTGCGTTTGGTTCCTAGCTAGAACTGTGTACCCTTTTTGGGGTAGTTTTTCCTGTGACTACGGAAGTTTTGTCCTGTGACTACGGAAGGCGCCGGAGTCAGTTGGACCAGTACGGATATCAGAAGGTACAGAGTAGAGACCGTAACGTTTTTTTCATGTGGAGACAAGAAGAAGCAGAACAACAACATCACCACCGCCACCACCACCACCAAAAAACAACAAACACAACATCATTCCCCCCCTGCGTATCGCCGGGCCTCTTCCTCGTCTGCCATGTCTTCGGAGATCAGATCTTGCACCCGCTGGTGGTCTGCAGCCTCATCACCGGCGGCGCTTCGTACGGCCTGGGGGCTGCGAGAGATCTGCCCCTCAAGGCCGCGCTCGAAGGTGAACGAGCACTTGGCTTGGCTTGCCTGGCGCTCCTCCTCTTCCTCCTCGTCAGCGATGCGATACGATGGATGCGTTTTACAGATCTAGGCGACGGCGAGGTTGCGTGAGAACCCGCCACCCGCGGGTCCATTTCTCGTAGGAACCAGTTTTTTCTCCGTCTCAGATTCAAGGATTATCGACTGGTGTTGTTGTTGTTGTTGTTGATGTCGAGACAAAAGCGCGGCGGACGGCGGCTACAACTGCTGTGACAACCGACAGCAAGACGAATTTCGATCTAATCTGCCAGTTCCACCAACGCCGTGCTGGGCTATGTTGTTGGCGTGTCATGCCAACCTACCCCTTCAAAAGGCGGCATAGCCGCACACATGCATTCTGCCGCCCTGTCTCCTACTTCTGTCTCTTTTTTTTTTCCAAGGCACCAAGCCGCGGCTCCTCTCCCGTCTGCGGCACTGTCTATTTACGTCATTTACGCAGACCCAATACGTTTGTTTTCAAGCAAACATACCTTCTTTAGATTCTGCGGCACATGTCGAGATGCCTGCACGGCCTTACCCGAATATACTTACGAACGCCCCCCTTCGCCCGAGATTGCCGACGTACGCAGCACGCCGAACAAATACGTCGTCCCTATCCGTGGTGTCCCGTGTTTTTGTGTTGTGTTTGTGGTGCGAAGGCTATTTCCCGAAGGCGGGCATGGTCTCCGGCGGTGCAGGGGACTTGTTCTTCGGAGTCCTGAACGCCTCCTGCTGCGCCCTGGGTTTCCGCATGTTCTACAACCGCGACATCCTCAGCAAGAACCTGGTAATTTTTTTCTCCTTTTTTTTTTCTCTTTTTTTTTCTTTTTTCTTTTTTTTTTGTGTGTGTTCCCGAGAGAGGCCGAAGGGGCGGCAAAAGGTGCATCTCAGTAATTTTTTTATCCATTTTTTTTTTTCTATTTTTTTCCATTTTTTTTTTTGTGTGTGTTCCCGAGAGAGGCCGAAGGGGCAGCAAAAGGTACACATTGCGTCTTTATGAGCCTACATCAATGTACAATTTTGGAGCAGTCTCACTCAACCAAAACTGTGAAAAACAGCTGTTCACGTGTTTTGACGTGGGCGAAGGTGTCGTACGCTGCAGATTCATGCCCCCTTGCGTCGCGATACCCTCGACCCCACTGAGTTAGCATTGCTCCTTGCTCCCTGCCTTTCACCTACAGTGTTGTGCGAAAAGTGTGGTTGGTCTTTCCCGATCGAGCAGCAGTGTTGAGGCCTGCGTATTGCGCCATTATTCGCTTGTTCACATACTTCAATCTTGGCGGTGGACGGCGCTCACCTGATGCCAGGAGCGTACACGTGCGTATGTATCGATAAGTTGCCCTGTCTGCCCTTACTTGTCGTGTTGGTTACTCTTCCCTTCTCCAAGAGACGCGACTTTCGGCGCGATCATTTCCATGGCTCCCCTCTTCGACGCTAGTTTCGGACTTTCGAAAGTGTTTGCACTTTTTGATTCATGTCCGTAGCGCACCGCTGCCCCCCCACCAATTCAGCGCCACAGATAGCCCGTATCCCACTTCCACCGGGAAAACGTCTTGCTACGTACCCTCCCTTCCCACACCCCTGACTTGTTTGTCCTCACGCACCAACCAACCCCTTCACACGGCGCACTCTGTCTTCATTGGAGCACCTCAAGTTCAATCCCCCCTTTTCTCTCCCCTACCGCCGAAACATTATCCCGATCGTCATTTTGTAGAGGCCGCTCCTGGCGAGCACCTTGTGGTCGTCGATGACGTCACTCTTCGGCACGGCAGCGGCGGCTGGCGCGGTGGGCCTTACCCCGCGCCTCAGCATGACCCTCACCCAGCGGTCCGTGATGTCGTCCCTCGGCATCCCGGCAGCATCCCTCCTCGGAGGAAACCCCGCCCTCGCCGTTGCCTCCATTCTCGTTACCGGTGAGGTATTGTAGCCCTCAAATTTTGTGAAGTGGGTGGGCTGTGGCGAGTTGGATGGTGTATTTATGTTCGTGCTGGGCACGCGGAACACGTGTGTGTGTGTGTGTGTGTGTGTGTGTGTGTGTTTTGTCAGTTGCATCGGCCGTGTTGACGGGTTTTAATTGTAAAAGGGTCAGTCTTCGAACGGCTGAAAATTGAAAACGCCGCTTCTAATTGTCATGGTCCGGAGTCCTGCGGAGGGTATCTGTGTTTAGTTATATAGCATCGACCGCGCTAACCGGCGCTTGAAAACCATATAGCTATTATAGTAGAGGGATCGGTATGAGATTTGGTGCCGTGTGTTCACAGTTCACAGTTCACACCAATTTAGTACAGCTTTGAGACCCCTGAAAACCATGGCTCGTTCTTGATAAGGTTTTGGGCAAGGACCACCTGCCGCGCTCGCGCTCGCACCGCAGCCCTCGAGCACGCGGATCATACTCACGGAAAAAGCACGACATGCAGGGGCAGGACCAACATGCGTCGTGCTTCCATTTTCTGTAACTTTCTCAAATTCTGTGAAACGAAAGCCTGCATATACAACACATCGCGTTGGGCCTCTCCCGGAGACCATATAACGATCACGATGGGGCCATCATCGTGCCCGGGACGATGACAATATATCACGCGACGCGATCGATAACTTTAACTGGCATGATGACGCCTAGACTGATAAAGGAGACTGCCGGAGTGAAATGAACCTACAACACGGTTTGGTCCACGGAAACGACCGAACGCGGTTGGATTTGGTTTTGCGGAATTCTCAAGGATCGGCACTTCCGGGCCGCCATTCAGCTCAACACACACATAAACGCAGCCTGCTGGCCTCCGCTCTTTGCATCAGTGAACTGTGAACTGTGAACGGATGGCACCTAATCTCCAATGAATACCTCGACTAGCTTGTTGGTTTTCAGGGGTCTCAAAACGCTGCACTATTTGTAAGTTGTTGTGAACTGTGAATTGTGAACAGAAGGCAACGAATCTCCCCACTAGCTTGCGCTGTTGGAGAACCGGCGCAAGTCTTTTCCAGGCCAGTAGATGAGGGCATACACATGCAGGAGGCGGCAGGCAAAGTAGACACGGGGCAGACACGGTACACGTTGGCAGGGTGGGTACATAGACGACACAAACGTACCAGACGACCCCGCAGCGATCAGGACACAAGTAAAAAGAGTACTACAAGTAGGTCAAATTCATCGTGTTGGTACTGTTTCAGCAGTATTGTTGTCACGGTTGATGTTAGTTGCTTACTGCTGCTGTTGCTGCTGTTGCCATTCGATCCGGTTGTCTTTCTGGTCATTTCCCGGCAGGCGTTTACGGTGCATCCGTGGGCACGGCCGTTCTGGACGCGATGGGGGTAGGCAGCGATAACCTCGTGCCACGCGGGATCGCTATGGGCGCATCGGCGCACTCGATCGGGACGGCAGCGCTCATGGAACGAGAACCCGAGGTGTGCAAGCCAAGTTTCCGACGTACTGGACAGCGGCCTATTATCTGCTATTGTGGTTTTTGTCGTTTGTTAGGCTGGACCAGGTGGTACAATGCCTCTAGACCGCTCTCTGACGCTTGGTTGGCAAGATCTCGACGCACCTCACAACACCCCGGTACCTAAGCTCATCGACGCATCCAGCGACGGTAGCTCTCCCACAATGTTATCTTGAACACCGGCTTCTTTGTTTGGGAATTCACAATATGTCACGTGGACGTCACGTAGCCATGCGCGATACGGTCAGACCCCCGCCCACATCATTTCTATCTTGCCGGACGGCAGTCATTCGCGACCACTCTCCGGTGAACATCGCCGAATCTTTGTCGTGTGCCATTCCTGATGGTTTACCTACTCGCGTCACAATGTCCCGGTCGCGGCGGTCGCCCTTTCGCGCGCTTTGTGCAGGCTGCCGCCGTCGCCAGCGTCGCGCTGTGCTTGGCGGGTATCTTCCACACTGCCGTTTGCGCCGCCCCTCCGGCCCAACGTCTCCTCCGTGTTTTGGCTCTCGACCGATGAAGGCGTTGTTGCAGCGGCAGCAGTATCAGCATTCAGGCACCGAGAAGTAGATACTTACGGCTACTTTTTGGCGTACCGTTTAGCCGACAGAGCAGGAGAGTATCATGTTGGTGGCATGAGGAGCGCCGCTTTGAATGGTTTGGAATTAAGCCCCCCGCGGTTAAAATGGACAACGTTTCGGGCGGCATACAGCAGCCTTTCTGCATGGGCTTTTAAGCCGAAAGCTCACTCCACGTTGCTATTATAAACCGGCGTGCTATGGCACACGTGAGGCCATATGTCGGGGTGTAGGAGGTACTGTAGGCTTGTCGTCCTCGTGTTGCGGTGCACTTATTTGTTTTTTTCGGAGGGTTCCAGTCTATGTTGTTTAGCTCCCGAGCCGTGGCTACACGAAATGGAGGGTACGCGGGGATGCAACAGGGTGCCGCAGGTGACATATACCACACCCCCTGCACCAATTTTCATAGCTGGATCACTCCACAGTAGGAAGAACGGTGGTGCCGAAAATGCCGAAAATGCCGGGAGGCGTTGGAACCCTCCCATCGAGATTGTTCCGAAAACGTGTGTCTAAATATTGCCATCCTCTTCTTCGTGGGAAGTAGTCGAGCTTTGAAAATGGGTCCAGGGGTGTAGTATCTTGTGTCACCTGCTACGTGCTCTCGACCCCTTGTCGAATTCCCATCGGTTGAATGGTGCGGTGCACTAGCAGGCTGCACGTGCTCTTGCTTCAGGTTTGCCTGCTTTGGCATTAGAACTAGCTTCGAAACGTATTTCGCACGCGATTGGCTGTGGACGTTTTGTCAGTGCAGGAAATATTTCGCAGAATGGACAGAAAATGTGCGATGGTGGGAAGGAAGACGCCATCCACTGGACCCGCGTGTGCCGGTGTAAAAAGATAACGGCCATTTAAATGGGAGACGATGGTCCGGCCGTACTCGGTGTCTGGGTTCCAATAGGCTGCTTGCAGATGCGGTGACTGCTCTTTGCTCAGCCGGGTGCGCTTCTAAACTTGAGTGGGGGCGTAAAGCTCGGCAAACCTCGTGATAGCCGATTGCGAACCTGCGCAGAACGAAAAATTCACCACTCCCGACCCCGCTTCAACACAGCCGGTGTCGAAGCCGATCCGATTCACCTCCGCCACACGTACATGTCCGCGGGCTTCGTTTCACACGAGGTGGTATCGTATTCTCATCGACACAAACTTCATGGACGATTTTTGAGACCTTCGAAACAGTTGCCAAAGCAGCCGCACTTCTGGGGGGTGGGCATCGGAATTGATACACGCTGCGCGCACAGTCTTCAAGTTCGTCGCGTTGCTCTGGAGTGACCTTCTCTATGTGCTCGGGCAGTCAGATGAACGCTCAACGGCCATCTCCAGGTATCTCTGCTCTTTGGTGGTTTGTTTGAACCAAAGGTATAGCATGTACCCTTGGGTCTTACGTTTTGCCGCCATATGAGGCGATAGGTTGAGTGGATACTTCCCAAGAGCTCATGTTCTTCGCTTTTGCTTCACCTCGTGGTGCCTGGCAGCTATGTAGACTATTGCTGTTTCGCTCTGTGGACACCGTGACCTGCCCGCTTTGGGGTGGTCAAGTTCCAGGTATCGTACAGTACGTTGATAATTTTTCTCAAAAGGAATCTGCTTGCTTTCCTTTTTCGTTGTCGAATCTCCTTCCTGTGACATAGGCGGTGCATTCGCCAAAGCAAGCTACAGTTCTACCTGTACAAGGGCAAAGCAAGACCAAACAATACACCCAGCAGGAGAACAGGTGCGAGCTCGCAACAATTCGCAGAAATCTTGCGTGCATAGATCCCCCTTCAAGATTGCCTGTACCTGGGTCATTCCGCGAGTGGCAGTTGCAAATCGAGACCTCGTTTGAAGTGCTGCGACGCAGCTCGGTGACCTTCCACGCTACCTGATAATGTCATGGAGGCGAATGAACTCACAGGGGCACTTTTTGACGTTAGAACGAGAGGAGAGTGATCTGGCGGCGATCTCGCCACACGGGCGAGTCCTTGCACTCAAGTTCAAGGAAGCCGAGTAGTCTAATCGTTTTCAAGCATCTTACAGATAGACCGGTTTCTGTTTTCGGATGACAGTCACCTGTGTACCATTCCTCACCTATACAGTTGTTACCACAGCAGACATCGTGCATTTTTCTGACTTGAACACCGTTGGAAACGTTCATTTTCAAAGTGAATTCCAGACCACACTCGTACAATGAGCGCCGTTTTGGGGTCAATTCGTTATCGTGATCGGGGTCATGATTTCGGCAATGATTTCGGTCATGACTTGGCTCCGTGACCCGAGATCCGCGATCCGAGTCATGAACGGGTCATGTCTTACTTCTTGTTTCTCACTTCCACAAGAGTTTTTCGGCCAGAGTGCGGATCATGACCCGGTCATGACATAGCCATGATTGTGTCACTACGGAGTCGTGATCGTGCCATGACTGGCTCATGATGACTGCACCATGGCCATAACATGATCATGTCATGACCCCATCGCGACCCAACCATGACCCGATGGTCTGTCTACTAGATTGCATCAATGCCAACCTGCTGTGGCGCCTATGACGGCACCACCTAGAACTAATCCACCCAGTGACCAAGATTTAGTCTTGTGGGTTTAGGGATAGGGTCAAGTTTAGCGCTAGTTTTTTTCTGCCTCTGCCAAAGAAAATAGTCTGTTGTTTAGGAGCACCAGAAATGCATTGGTCATGAACGCGTCGTGACCGAGTCATGACCGAGTCATGACCGAAGCATGACCGAGGCCTAACTACGGCCATGATCATGATCGACGTCATATCCTCCATCTCGATGAATGGGTCATGGCCAGATCATGACCATGACTAGCCATTCCGCGTTAGGCTTACGAAAGTTTCGGGGGGTCGCGCCGTCACTGGCGGGCGGCCTCCGACTCTATACCCTGACAACCTACAGATCATATTACAGTCAGGAATGGTCGTCGTCTGCTATTACTAGAAAATAGAGTATCCTCGATTGGTACAATCAATCGTTGCTATCGTCAAAGTACTTGCAAGGAAAATAGTGAATGTATCGACTTTTGCCGCACCGAATGCAGGATTGATTTGTGACGCGCGTCGTGGTTGTATGGGGCGAATGCTTCGAACCCGAAGTTTGCACTGAAAAGAAGTGGTCGACACGTCCCGAACCAATGATTGACAGCATCGGCCATCGACAGACGCGCAGCACACGTCCGCCGTTCTCGCACGACCGCTTTCACCTCAAGCCCCTCGCGCCCACTGGAGGTTGGGGGGGGGCTATTCTTCGCCCTAGTAGATGTTACTGTAGTTCGAAGATCAACCAACCCCCACGCGAAAAATTACAAGTACTTGCAGAGTGGCAGCAGCCAGCGACCAACCTTTTCTCTCCTTAGAAAACCAGAGACTGTTAACAAGCATTTTGCACACCTTTAGTCTCGTCTACACATGCAACAAACGACGGTTTCTAACCCTGTAGGCGCCATGGCCGCCCAACATCGATATTATCATGGTATCACCTTTGGAATGCCACCCAGCTCCAACGAAAATGACTTCCACTACGGTACTGAGGGGGCTTGTGACCAAGCTAAACCTTTACGGGTGTTAAGCATCCTCGTTCCTCGTCCTATGCCCGTACTTGTACCGTGTTTACTGCTATGGTCCCCTTTTGCCACGCGGTAGAATATCTTGGTGCTGCCGTGCCAACATGCGTCAGGCAAGCGCGCGTTCAACCCAGGGTTTGGACGAAGTTCGTACATAGTGGTACATATTGTTGACCGAAAATATCACTTCGCCGTAGGCTAGGCGCTCGATTCACGCGAGGAATTTTGGCGTCACGGTGAAATCGAGGGCTCTTGGGAGTAGGATATCATGAATGCCACAGCAGTCCTTCTCGACACCAAGCCCCGCAGGCTTTTCCTAACACGGTAGGTCTGAGTGAGCAATGGGCGGGGTAATGGCTTTGCAACGTCAGGCGTTTGTTCGAATGCCGCCGTTGCTTCGAACCGAGAAAGAGCAATTGTCAAACACCGCCAACAACAACTACAGCCTCGTGGGTCTCGCCCCCCCCCTGTGCTCACCTACTGCATCAGGACGAGTGGAAGTGACAGTCGCCTCAACATATTCTGGTGATTTGCTGATATCGCGATTTGCGGGTTGGATTTCAGGGCCGCAACCCTATTCCTGACCCTCAGTTGTCACGTTATCAATGACAGCGACAAGCTTCCTGGGTTACGAAAAGAGCAATTCACACGAGGTTGCGCATTTTGCCCACTAGTCTAGGCTATAGTAGTGCAGAGGTCACAAATGGTAGCCGTTTCGGTTCTTCGCAATGATGCAATAAGTTACGCTTACCGCAAGTGTAGCCCCTGGTTCCGCGAGAGCAAGTCGTTCCCTCAGGACACGATGACATGGCATCACACACTGTCGCCGGGAAACGAACAAACGTACGTCGGTACGAAGAAATGTGGAGGGGTCGGTTGAAACCGTCGTGGCCGTTGCCGTAGACACGAGGAAGACAGCAGTACCAACGCCAGCAAACATATTTCAACTACACCCGCATGCACAGCAAATCAAACACAACCAGCACAGGGAAAACAACGACAGAAGATTCTCCGACTGCTTTCTACTACTGAGCCGTTGAAGCCACCACCATCTCCATATCTTCATATCTACGTCACGATCGAACAACGCACAGTACTGTATTAATGATATGAGTACGAGGCAGGGTTTTCTACTCACGACACAGACGGGTCCTGGTTGACGCATTTAAGTTCACTTGCAGTGCTGCGGTCGACCGGACAGCGGAAGCAAGCAACAGGAAGGCAAGAATTGTTGTGTGAGCAAATTTATGAGAGCATTCAGCGAGGACTGACTTTATTGATGTATGAGATCGGGTGGGACACGAAATAGCGTGCCTTTGGTGGAGGGCAGGGTATATCACGCAACGAAATCAAGCCTGGCCGAACAATGGCTTGTTGTTTCTCATCTTTGACATCCGCAAGGAATGGCGTCCGGTGGTTACATGGGAAAGGAAGGGAGAGACGCCAGTGAAGATAGAGTAAAGGTTCTTCGCCACAGAATATCCAGAAGCCTCAAAAAGAGGCGGAGGTGGCCGATGTCTGCATCAATACCCACGATGCTTCCCGCGGCGAAAATCTCGCTTTCCAGCGCCAGTCGACGCACAGGTTCCACCTGGGCGTTTGTATTTGATTGTCGCGCAATTTGTGGCACCCCGGATACATCAGTTCCATAGAGGGCGTTTCTGACACCCCTTGTCGTGATATTCGTTACCACCATCCTCGAGTGTCCAAAGCGAGGCGTCAGTCCCTTTCCCATCTCACCTCTCGGGGATGCACTGCTAGCCCTCCATCCCGTCGCCTGCGAGCCTCCTGAAAAAAACCAGGTTAGGGGAAAACGACGATAAGAGGAGAGCAGATTGAGCAAAATAATCCGACGGCTGGCCAAAAAAGGTACTTTCGAAAGCTCCTGTGGATTCCGAAGGTCCGCCAGGCTGATCGGCCAAAAGCATCTTGCATGGTTTACGGCGGCGGCTCTCGCGAGATATAGGCGTCTATTCTTGTCACGCGGAGGACATCGCGACCGGGGGTCAGGAGTCAGCCTTCACCGTGTTCTATGCCGCAACGTTCACCGTCATCAGAGGCAGCATCGGAAATCCTCACACCCGTTTCGGCTTCACCGGGGTCTCAAACGCCCGGTCATGCTGAGGGAAATCGGCCATGCTCCTGGACCCAAGATCCACAAACCAAGCGTACATAGACTGTGGACTCCAGCTCCAACCGTGGAACAGAAACGTGAGAGCCAACTCTATCACACACCGACTCCATTTGGCCTCTTCAACTCCTCGTTCGGTGAATCGACCTCCCTCTGGCCATGAACGTTAAACCCGGGTGACTGTGCTCACAGCGTGAGTCTCGAGAAAACTGTACATTCTACGGTGGTTTCCGCCATCCAGCGCTAGCGTTCGGGTCCAACCACCGACTCGATTGCCTTTGTGTGCCCCTTGCAAAACGGGAGGCACCGTGTTCTGTCACTATTTGCCCTTCTCGTTTTCTTTTCAAGGCACCACAGAATGCTTGGCCATAGAAGAACAGTATTTCGGTTGTCCGCAAACAAGCACCAAATAGTCGCGCAGTGCACAACATCAACAGCTCAACAAAGAAACTGTAATGACAGGAGGGTATTTACCTTGGGGTGGTAGACCGTAATACTGCATCCTCTTTTGTCTGAGACGTGGGTTCGAGTCTCACCGCAGTCAAACGGATTGGGATTCAATCTCACAATATTCCCCCTACAATGAGCAACGTGTTTGAAATCATGGTCGACAAAGGAAAGGGACGGCCGGCTCGTTCTCGCGATCAAATGTAATGCAAGCAACACAGAAGGAAGGTTGGTTGAGGAAAGCAGATAACAACATCGTGATTGGCCTTCCTGCTGCGTGACCTCATCTCATGAGTCCACGCCTCAAGTCCAGACGGAATGGGACAAATGTCCCGAACGCTCTCAGCGATCTTGTGGGAGCCAAATCTGAAATGGGTAGCTGCTTCTTAAGACGATGGCTCTTGGGAATAGTCAAATGGTGTTGGACATCTCTTGCGGTTGTTCGTATGCGCATACTCCCAAGGACGGCAGTTTACCACGACTGAGTGAGGCCCATTCATGGTCAATCTGTCCCTGCGCCAATCAGAGTTTTATGCATGCGTCCTTCTCTCTGTGTGACCCTGGTGCGAGTTCACATTCCGTCGACCAAAAGCAACCTAAATCAAGGCGATACGCTTTCTCACAGGGTTTTGAGAGACACTAGCGGTGCGAAGATCTCCGCAGGAAGGGTCGTCAGCGAGTTGTGGCTCAGATCCCTGTCAACATTTATGAAACACACGGGGACGATGACATATCATGCAAACGCGGTGGAAGTCTAGTGCGGTAGGGTTGGCTCGCACGGCATCACAATACGGTACTGATCGGACCTCCCTACAAGAGGGACCACGAATTAACGATGGCAGGTCGTCCCCCGTGAGCATCAACATCCAAACCCATGTTGCACCCATGCGGCAGCGAGTCCATTTTGAAGACGAGTGGTGCTGACGATTCGCCGATTCGCATGACACCTCAGGCAACGAAAAATTACGAAACATTCACGCCCACCGACCAACGTGGTCTGGGCGTGGTGAAGCTTTGGTGGAATCTGGTGCACAAGCGTTTGATTGAGGCATTTTGAGCGCTTACGCGCCAACCAAACGCCCGGAATTTTCGATGCCACCCTTGCACAACCAACTCCATTACACTCACAGGCCTCAAAGGTCGACTAAGCCATCGAACGTTCCCAGAGGTAGCGCCGTCAGCCCGGATCCGGACAGGGTTCTGCAACCGAACAATGCGGGGGAGCCAATTTACCACCATTCGTGTACTTCGGCCTACATCGTTCCCCGTGTGGTGACAGCCGTAGACCCCCGAACTTCCGATACGCAGCACACACAGACTCAAAGGGAAAGGATAAGGCTCCTTGGCTTCTTGTTTGGTGTTGCCACAGTAAGTTTTGTTGCTTCGCCTGGTTTATCTGCTATGTCTATTTTGTTGGGTCTTGAGGGAATGCGTTGGAGCAAGTGGTGAAGTCGAGCGTTGGTGACCGCGGTATTGGCATCTTGAACGTATTCCGCCTTTCCGCTCTCAAACATTTTCCTTGTGAATGCTGCCGGATCATTTTCCCCGAAACGTGTCTGTTTGGGGATGATGGAATTATCTGTGGTGTATGATGGAATTTGTCTGGGGTGTATGTACCAGTGCAATAGGAAAATATA